TAAAGAATATTTCGTTTTCCTCCCTAGAAGCAATATCATTTTTAGAATACTCAAAAAGGATGATGCTTTGGGTATAAACACTTCAAGCATTGAAAACTCGATGGCCGAAATTTATGTACACAATAATCAAGGAAGAAAATGTTGTATCATAGTTCCAAGAAGTTTGACAACATAGACATTTCTAAGCACGGTTCCTCCTCAAAGGCCTCGTCCAAAGAAACAACGGTGGAAGTCCATTTCATCCCCTCAAAGGAAATTGAGTAGCGATGCCTCTATCGATCCCGAAAACATATAATGTAGCCAGACTTTCGAAAAGAGGAGGAGCTTTTCAGCTAAGGAAACATTATAATTGTTTCAAAATTGTGTTTTAACTATGACTTTCAACAAAGTCATAAACTCTATTTCTGCTTGTAATCCTTTCCATGCTTACAAATCTCTTCGAAGAGTCAACAATCCTAATCCGTCGTAACGACTTTATCTTAATAAGCATCGACTTACCATTCTAGCTATCAGATTATCCCCAGCAAACATGAAAAGCAAATTCAGGGCCAAGAATTTAGCTTTATCAGTGCCATAACTATACCAACACAAAAAGACCAAACGAATTCCTACCTAAAATTTAAGCTCACGAAAACTAAAAGACTAAAGGAACTTAGCACAGTTGTAGCAACGTGAGATCCCATATCGGTCGGGGAGGAGAACTCCTTTATAAGAGTGTGGAAACCTCTCCCTAGTAGACGCATTCTAAAAACCATGAGGGAAAACCCAAAAGGGAAAGCCTAAAAAGGACAATATCTGTCAGCGGTAGGCTTGGGCTGTTACAAGTCATCTCCAGCACAAACGTTCTTAATTTCCAAACAATTAATTCTACAAGGACTATAATTTTCCTGCTTACATCGAACAACCCGTTCGATAAAAAACCGAGTACCGAGCTCAAACTTATGTTACATCTTCCTACAAGTCAAAATCATAGTCAACCAAAGCCCAGAAGACAAACACAATCTGAGCTGCATGACAGAATTACAAGAACAGAACATTATCCCAAGTTCAATTTCCACCAGATTCAACACAAATTAAAGTGAGACAACAATAATTCGAAGAATGAAAAACAATAGAAATTACAATCAGATTGTTGAATTCAAGAACCCTATCAATAAGTCGAATAACAAACCCAATTGAATCGAATAACAAAAGAAACGCCCAATAATCGCTTACCATCCAATGAGATAACCAAAGCCGAGCAAGAAGGTAATTAAGCCGCAATGGCGACGGAAGAGGAGCATCGAAGCATAACCCAGGAACATGGGGACCAATAAATGGAGGTTGGAAGAGAACCCAAATGAGAGACAAGAGAGAAGCACACCGGAGAGGGCGGAATAGAGGTGCTTGGTGGAACGACCTGGAATAAGCCGCCATAGAAAGCTGACCGGAATGGTGGCGACGAAACAGAGAAGGAACCGGAGAACTGGGACCGAGACGCCGATTGAGGCGGCTAAGGATTCCATCTCCAGGCCCATCGAAGGCGTTGCTCTGGATTTGGTCTGTTTCGGAGTTAACGAAGTGTTTTCTTTGATTTACAGTGCAAAATCTCAACTACGCCGCCTTCTTGTACGTGCCTTCCGATCATATGGCTCCATCACCGTGAATTTTGTGCCCATTTAGTTTCCACTTTTCAAAAATTAACTCGTTTTTTTTTTTTTTTTCTTTTTGCGAAATTACAACAAATATAATATTTTTGTAAACATATGCAATCCTATCGCGTGTATTTACTATATTTAGATTTGCAGTTTGTCTTGATCATCCCATTTTATGTAGCCATTTGAATCTTCTGTTTAAGAACTAGTTGCTTGATTCTACGCCTTCAAAATCGAGGCAAATTTTGAGTCTTATTCTCTTGAGTTGATTCCTTATCATTTTAAGTTGATTTCTTACTCTCTTGAATTCACTCTTTTCCATATATAATAATTAGATGAGTAGTTCATTAAGTGTTGATTTAGGAACTTGAATAATAGAGCCTCACTATAACACTAGATTCGTAGTTTAGAAAGTCAGGTTGAGAAGATGAATCCATGAGCTTGAAATTCAGGTCATATGGCCCCACACCAATGTTGGATCCAGCAATCCAAAAACGAACGGCCCAAAATGTGTCATCGTGCATGGCCCACGACCCAAAGAAAATGTGTGCGCTCCAAAACCCACGTGCCAACCCGAGTCGGTCAGTTGCACTCCGCACACGTGTGGAGTATATGAAAGCCAATTCTCAAGCCGCGACTCAGTTGTCGACTTGGTCCAGTACTCTCAGATAGCACCTTAGCTTGACGGCTTAACAGTTCGACTTGTCTACTTATACAACTTGATATACATCTTTTGTATCGTTTCTTACATTCTCTCGAAGCTATTTTTAACCTTATTGAAGCCATTTAAGGTCAACAAGACTTTTACTTAAACTAAATATTTTTTAGATAAAATTTAGTAGTAATCAATATGTTCAGCTAAACTAAGTTTAACAATATGTCCTAAGAGTATACGGATTTTACCACATGTTCGTGATATGAGCTTGTAGCAACCATTCATATGCGTGCATGAAGATCTCGAACTTGTCGGTTTAGCACGATCTATAGATTTCTTGATTTCTCGATATTTATAGTTATTATTATGTATATCTAATCTCGCATAGAGCTTATTAAAAGTAATAAACGATAAATTAACTAATACATATTAAATTTATTCATGATTTATAATAATAATGAAAACTTGGAAGGAAGAACTACATTAATATATCAATAACGATATTTTAATATGAATAGAATACATTATTTAATAATGAAAATTTTGGTCTAGGGGATAACGATCAAAGACCATTATTAATAATATTAGTCTATTATTTACTCAAAAAAAAAAATATATATATTAATTAATGTTGGTAGCCAATTTAATATCAAATAATATATTCAGAAGTATTCTCTCTAAATTAGAGGTATTTATATAGTTTGATAGTCCGATCATCTCAGACTAATCAATCTAAACCATAAAGATTTTTTTTTTTTCGATTTGGATTGAGCTGATTTTTTTGAAATTGAAAATTTTGGATTAGTTCATGAGTTGTCATTTTTTTACGGGTATGATTTTTTTAAAATAATTTTTAAAACAAGAACTAGACAACCCATCCAACCCAACCTGAAAATAGAGGATTGGGTTGGGTTGGGCTTGAACTCTCTTCGGGTTTATCAGGTCATCAATCCAATCAATCGGAAATTATAGGTTGGTCCAAAAGTTGACCAAAATTGTTGACTTTAGACCGAGTCAACCCTCACACTGATTAGGTCTTGTAAGTTATTGGGCTTAGGATTGGGCCTTCTTTCTGGTAAATAGGTCTGCTGAGCTAATAAAGTTCTTGGGGTTGTATTTTTTGGTAGTTTATTTTAAATTGAAATTAACCAAACCATGTAAACCGAACCATTGAACCCCAACCAAACCAAACCGAACCGGAAATGGTTCGTTGGTTCTTCAACCTCTTGCTAACCAACAGCAACTTGCTGAACCAAACCATTGATGATGTAACTTATTCCTCAATGAATTTAAATTTAACAGCAACGTGGATTGGATTGGGTTGGGTTGGGTTAGATCAATCCAAAATTTTGATTCATCAGATTGGTAACTCGAGCAACCCAACACTCTATTTTTGGATTAGGTCGGGTTGTCGAGTTGTTTTTTTAAATTATTTAAAAAATCTAAATAATCTATCTCAAATATGAAATATTAACAAGTCACACTGCATTACTAACATTAGTTACTATTATGAAATTATATACACTCTTCAACTTTCCGACAGAGTATATGAAATTTGAATTAAGATATAAAGTTAGTTATAGAATATATTTTATAGAGCGGTAATCCATTCTGTTTTTTTAGGATTTTGTTAGTAGTATATTTTAAATAACGAAGATCAGGTTAAATATTTTTAATCTCCATAATAATCGTTAAAAGTAGGGTAGTATAGGGTTAAGTTGAAACCCTATTTTCGGGTTGGTTGGGTTAACCCAATCCCAACCATAAAAGTATAATTCAACCAAACGTTTCTTATTTGGGTTGAGAAGTTGGAGATGGTTCAATTCTCTCTCGGACAATATGAGCATCTATATGATATGATCTCATGTGAATCATAAATTTCGATAAAATAGAAACTTTTAAAAAGGTTTGAATATAAATAAACAATTTTGGATGTTGAGATGTTTTAGAGTGGACTGATATTCCACATTCATTACAATGAAAGCCACACAATAAAGAATCAATTTCTTTAAAATAAATAAATAAACAAATAAAAAAAAGGTAACGTCATCATCAACCACATGTTCTTAAATATCTAGTTATATGGGTCATACACACTGATATTATGGTTATGACATTCTCGTATGACATGGTAACATGTTACTATCCTCAAAGCGCTCTCATTTGGATGTGGTTATGATTATTATTGGAATGTGTTAAATTTTCAAGATTATGAATCACAAATAGAGGTCTGTGTACGATATTTCTTTTAATAAAATAATTAAAGTTAAAGGTAAAAATAAAAAAAAGAACAAAATGTAGCTAGAAACTTTAGTACCATGCAACATCGCTACTAGTTATGCACATATCTATTGCCATCCAATTCACATCTACAAAAATGTCTGAAATGACATTCCACTTTGATTTTAGACAAAGTGACAAAACTGGTACAGGACCGATGTCAGCTCGTACCATAAGATGTTAGGTTAAATCTCGTGACGAACACAAACCTCGTGTTTAATTACCAACCGTTGAAATTAGAACTCTAAACAAACTATCAGTGACAAAGTAAAATGACAAAATTGGTACATAGCTATCGATAGCTCGTACCACAAGGTATTGGGTTAAATCTCGTAACGAGCACAAACCTCATGTCTAAGCCAATCGTTAAAGTCAAAACCATAAGCAAACTGACAGTGATAAATCGAAAGAATGAAAATGAAGTGAAATCATCATCGAATCTAAAATTAAAATATCAAACAATTATCGAACAAAAACGATAAATATTCCCTCGTTTCCAACCCAAACTACTATAGGCTTACCAAAAAACAAAGCCAATCATCATTTGAGAAGCTATCATCAAAAATATAATCTTCTTCTCTCTTACTCACCTATGTTTTTTTACACATTTTCTAACTACAACAAAATGCAGACCGAACGAGTCAACGACACTGGGATATCTGTTCGTACTCGACCGGGCAGATCATCACTGCATCTAAACACAGCCCGCCTTTCGTGTGCGTGCAGTCGATCTGAGTCATAGAGAATTTGACCCTTGTCGATTCATTTCGAGCATCGACATTGAAGTTACCTGCACGATACAGAGTCCATTTCCCAGATTCCACTAAATAGCATCGAGTTTTAGCATGCTGACCATCTGAAGTCCAAAGCTGGAATTGCACAGGCTTTATGTTCCAACCATGAACGTGCTCGAGGTTACAGATTCGACGCCCAAACCTCTTCGATGTCCGACCCAATTGTAACCTGAAGTATAGACTGTAACTTCCCGGTGGAAACGGAAAGTCGACCTCTCCACCAACTTCAAACCACCATACTTGCTGAAGATATGCAACAGTGTGGAATCTAAGCAAGAAAATGAAAAAATCGATATCAGTTCGTTCCCTCTCAACGATGCAGACGACAAAATCACAGAGTTCACTGATTACACTAACTTATATACATCCTTTCAGTTCCATCAGCCTCAAAAGATCTTCAAATATCAATGAGTTGATCAAGAACACAACTGAAACCGATACCAATACGCATAAAAGATTGTTTTTCGACACAATTTATGTGCAAAACGCTTTGATAAGCATTCCATAACTATAGCGCTTTGATAAGCTTGCCCACAACGTTTTTAAAACGCGTCTATTAGGGAGAGGTTTCCCCGCTTTTATAAATAATGTTTTATTCTCCTCCCCAACCGATATGGGTTCTCACAATCCACCCTCCTTCGGGCCCCAACGTCATCGCTGGCACACTACCTCGTGTCCACCCTCCTTCAAGGCTCAGCTTGCCCAAGCCCATCGCATCGCTAGCAGATATTGTCCTTTTCGGGCTTTCCCTTCAAGGTTTTTAAAACGCTACTACTACGGAGAGGTTTCTACACCCTTATAATGAATGTTTGGTTCTCCTCCCCAACTATACGTTTTGGAGGCAGACATATTTCCCACATGAATCCAGGGAAGAACTTATATCCAAAACAAATCATTGTTCTTACCAAACTTGGAATAATTCTGTTAATATAGAACAACAAGATCCATTCAACCATGTTCCATGAATTCAGCAAGCAAAAACTCAAACAATAATGATAAGAACAAGCATAGATTGATTCAAAATATTCATTCCAATGAATCTGACTGACCTCGATTCTTCAGTGGAGATGCGATTCCAATACCTCCGATCATCAATCCCAGTAATCCTCAAATCCATGGAAGAAATCGATAAACAAACACCACCAGAATGTTTATCCAGCCAAACTTTCTGAAACGAGAGCGAAAACAAAATCAACAATGCAGAAGAGAAACCAACGAAATCAAAGCCCTAATTTCGAAATTAAGTTTACCTTATTTCCACCATCCAATGGATTCTGTTGACAAAGCTTCGTATAAATCTCTCTTTTACTCATAATCTGAACAAAATCACCAAACAATCGTTGAACAAGAACCCTATAATTAGACGGCAATTTGGAATCCCAAACGAAATCAGCCCAGGAAGCCCCACGAAAGGCCCGATTCAACCTCGCAAGTCTACAAATCTCCACCGGACTCAAATGCCCCAAAACATCCGCCACGCAGTTCTCCGGCAAGTCCCCGAGGCCGGGATACGGCGGTGGCGACGGTGGGTGAGAGCCATTACGGAGGCAAAAAAACGAAGAGAAATTAAGACCCATTAGAGAAGGAAGAAGATCATGAGAGAAAAATCAAAAGGGGTTGATTGAATACGAAAAAAAGAGAGAATTAAGGAGATGGGTTGCTTGGATTCGTCGGTTTTTTGAGAAAACAAGAATCAAGCGGGTGTTTGTTTAGTGAGAAAGTGAAGGAAAACAGCGAGGAATGATGATTATTGTAGATATTTGGGGTTTGGGGATTAAAAATCGAAGTGGGCGGAGGAATTTGAAGGCGGAATCGAATCTTTTTTGCTCCAAAACCTCAAATATTTATATATCTAAAATCCATGGCTGCTTCTCCTTGCCGCTATTTGCGTCCATTGGTTCCGCTTTAATCAGGATAAGGATCCTTATTATTCACTCTCATCTTATTTTCCATTTCTATAATCTCTAATTACAAACAATTTGCTCCAAAATCTATGACGTGGATCCATCTCCCGCCCCAACCCCCAACCCCTTTTTTATAACTAAGGGAAGGATCGATTCTTCAAACTCCTCTTTTTCCTTTTTTTTTTTTTTTTTTTTTTAACTCAACCAACAGAGATAGAACAAGATCCATATACTTTTCTCGATATTTCTTAATATCTGAACTTCATTCACTTCGAAAAAAAATTGAAGAATTTCTCGAGAATACTACAAAATTCATTCCTCAGTTTCCTTACTATTACTATTATTGAATAATTTCTCACGAGTTTTTATTTTTTTAAAAAAATAATCTAATTTTTAATATAGTTTTTATTAAAAACATGTAAAATAATATAATGTTTTATAAATATTATTTCTAAAAATTTTAATTTTAATATTATAATATAATTTTTAATAAAAAGTTAATTATAAGGTAACTGTGCATAAAAGATTAATTTTAATTTTGGTCGTTCTATTTTTCAGTAACGGTGAAATATTTTCTAAATTTATCAAGAAATATATATAAAAAGAGAATATTATATTTGTAATTAATTTTTTTAAAAAAATCATATTTATAAATATTCCCAAAGATAAAGCCATTCATTAATGGAGCATTCTTTTGGTTATTTTATTTTATTTTATATTATCAAACATATTTTTCCATTTCAATATTCGGTCAATGTAAAATATATTTTCAATAACGAGAATCAATTATTATTATTATTATTTCTTTTTTTTTTAATAACTCTAACTAAATAACATTATTAGAAATTAAAATATTATTCATATTCTAAATTAATTAAAAAAATTAATTCTTAGAAGAATTTAGAATTAATTTCCATATTTATTGCAAAAATAGATTTCATTTTCGATCGTGACAATGATTGTGATGTCATCATGTTAGAGATCCACGGCCGACAACTACCGTTAATTTAGATTTCATCTTGTTATTTAAATAAATTAAAATAAGAAAAAAAATCCGAAATTAATGATAAATTGAATATTTTATAATTGATGGGAGATAGAATTAGTCCAACATAATACACTTGACAGACATGCGGATACGACAAAAGGAGGCCACTTACGACATGTCGTCGTCAACAGCACTTTTCAATAAGGCCCATCTAGGACCATTTATTATAACATTCTTGGTTTGCACCGTCAAAAATAAATAAATAAATAAATTAATTAATTAATTAATTAAATTCTGGAATTGACAACAAGGCCAGTCGATTATGGAATGTTTGAAAAATGTACACGTGTGTGCTTGTTTATACCCACCTACTACAGCCACATATGCATATATCGACACGTCATATATACTTTTTATTTTTTATTTTTTTAATTTATCTTTTATTTCCGTCCATTATAATAAATAAAAAAGAAAACCCTTATGGACTATAATGGACCATTTAAATAGGTTGAATATAAATAAAAAATTATCAAAAATACCATTTTTTTATTAATTTATTAAAATATATCGAATTCGTTGGATTATAGACCGTGTGAAAAGTCTACACGTGTGTGCTTACTCATACGGACACGTATATACATTTTTTTTTTTTTTTTATGTATTATTATATCAATTTTTTAATCGTTAATATGACGATTTCTAGAATTTCCTTTGACAAGCTTATCATAGCTCATGGTAGCTTCTTAGGTCTTATATTTATAAATGGATCGTGAAGTATGACAATTCCTTAGCCCCTCTGAAGGAGTATTTGTCCTCGAATCCCGACCACCATCTGCAACGATAAGACTCAAATCAACAACATTATAGGTTGTACTAACAACATACTCTACAAGTTTGGATTTTCTTTGAGTAGGAAATTTTTCTATTTGAAAGCCACCCGAATCCAATCTTCTAACTTGAAGATGATCTTACGTGTGTTGTTAATTATGGTAAAGACTGTGTTCATGCTACTCATCGAGCATATAATCTAATTTGGGAATTAGATGCTTTGTACTTTATAGTTATCTTATTTATAGTCCTACAACCTAACACATACGCTAAGAGGCACAAGAATAACTCACACAAAACATGGACTCAAACTTTCACCTATATGTCTTAAGGAATGAGTTTACTCACTTGGATTAGTCCTATGTATTGGACGGTTTAAAATGGATGTTCAAAGAATGAAGTCAATCTTAAGCTCAATTTCTTTGAGTGGTGTTGAACCACTAGGCATCTCCTCGAGAAATAAATCTTCAACCTCTTACGAAAGTATAACAAAATCGCTAGACAAAGAAGGGTTAAACTTGTTGAGAAAGAAACAAGACACTTGCACATAAGTACAAGAATGATCGAGTTAAAGAGCAAAACATTCATTGTCTCACTTGTTCTAACATACAAACTTATTGATCTGGCGTTTTTTTGTTTTTTTTTTATAGGCTTAGTGCTACTCGCTTGTTTTTCACTCAACTCTTTTTTTTCTTTTTTCTTTTTGTGCATTGGTCTCTTGCTTTTTATTTTTTAAGTTTGCATTGATCAATAAATATACCTTTTAGAATGTGAGATCTTACATTGGTTGATGGGGAAAACGAAACACCTTTTATAATGGTGTGAAAATCTCTTTCTAGCGGACGCGTTTTAATAACCTTGAGAGGAATCCCGAAAGGGAAAGTCCAAAGAGAAAAATATCTGCTAACGGTGGACTTGAGCCGTTACAAATGGTATCAGAGCCTGACACCGGGCGATGTCTCAGCGAGAAGGTTATTCCCTAAAGGGAGTAGACAGATGGCGGTGTGCCAGTAAAGACGCTCGACCCCAAATGGGGTGGATTTGGTGGGGTCCCACATCCATTGGAGAAAGGAACGAGTGCCAACAAGGACGCTGAGCCTCAAAGGGGTGGATTGTGAGATCCCACATTGGTTGGGGTGGAGAACGAAACACCCTTTATAAGGGTGTGAAAACCTCTCTCTAGTAGACGTGTTTTAAAAACCTTTAGAGGAAACTGGAAATGAAAATTCCAAATAGGACAATAAAATAAGAGTAGTTTTTCTTTCTATGTATAATTAGGATCAGAAAAGAAATAAGAGAACACCCTTGAGACCTTCGTTCGATCATCCTCTCGATTTTACATGCAATATGCAACAAATCCTCAAGATCAACATTATCTGCCATCTACGTGTTTAGCCCATTCTTCCACGCCCTCTCCCTCTCATCAAAAAGAAAAAAAAAAAAAAAAACATTAAAATGAAAATGAAAATAGATTTGATGGATTTCCCAACTTTGTTCAACCGGTAGAAAAATACTTAACATTTCTGAAACTTCCTTTAATCAGCTTACTATAGCTTGAATATGAGTGGTTAGTGGTCGTTGTAGTTTCTTTTCTCTCGACCTTGTAATTGCACTTTGAGACATGACAATCTTTTGGCTCGACTTACTAAATTTTGATGATATATATTTTTAAATGAGCTAAAAAGTTTTTTTTTTTAATATTATTTTATTAAAATAATTTATTTGAGAATAATTATTAATATTTTTCGGTTAATGAATGAAAATTAAATTAAAATTTAAAGCATAATACTTTGTTTATACGAAACAAATTCCGATAACATTTTCGATGCAACACCAAATACAATTATTTGATATCCGAGGTTCTATTTCTATACATTCTTTTATAGACATAATAAACAAAACCTTAAATCAAACGTCTTCGTTAGCCCTTAATAATTCATTGTTGGGCTTGTTTGATTGTAAACCCAATTGTCATACGACCCAACTCAGCTCAAACTAGGCTTGAAATTTAATTTAGGACAAATGTCAATTTATAATTGGTCCCGATTTAATATTAATTTAAATAAAAATAATAACATAGTTCAATGAGAAGTTTTTGTTGGTAGACTTCATGTGTCTATCAAGTTTCAGGAATTCATCGATTAATTTTAATAATAATAAAAAAAACATATTTATTGAATATTAAGAATAAAATTAATACAAAAGGTAAAATTAGAAATTATTTATTACCATTATTACCATAAAAACGGCGGTAAATGAAAAGGAGATCCTAAAAAGCAAAGGTCAATGTAACGTAACTCAACGGTCGGTCTACGTAAAAATAAAATAAAAAAAAGAAAAATATAATTAATTAGAAGGTCACGTGCATCAAGCGTGACGTTTTCCACGCGAAGAATAGAGAGAGACCGTACCCTCCAATTTCCCCTCTTCTCTCAACGGTCATATTCCACCGACATACTCCAACGGTCACTTACACCCTCTCTTTCCACAGTCCTGATACCCTTTTCTCCCTCTGCTCCATCGTTCTTTCCTTTTGTTTCAGTGCTCCTAAATCAAATCAGTCACAGGTCCAACAGGGAAGAAACAAAGAACAACAACCACATCAGCAACAGAGGAAGTTTACAGAGACAGAGACAGGTAATGAATGGGTTTTGATCAAATACTTCTATTTCTTTCTCTCTGTTTCTCAATTCTTAGTGGGTTTTGTGTTCTTTCTCTGATTCTTCAGCTGTTGGATGATTCGATTTTGCCACCATGGCTTCCATCTCTGTTCTGGGTTTGAGATTCTGCTTCCATTTCGCCTCGCCAGTATGTTTCTTCAACTCTGTTCATCGGTTTGTAAGTAAATCTTCTCTCTGTCCTTTCCTATGAATTTCCTCTGAATCTTTGGGAATCCGATGATTTTCTTTTTCTTTTTATTTTAATCTATTTTCTATTCTTTCATTCTTTGTTTTTGGGGTTGGGATTCAATTTTAGGACACACGATTTGGTACTTTAAAAACAGAGTGTTTCTTTTGATTCTCTTCCTCTGTTTCTCATTCATCGGATTCCTCTTGTTTTTTTCTAATTTCTTTCTGTTCTTTCTGTTCATACGATTTTTGGGTTTCTTCACACAATCACGTAGCTTCATTCTTTGTAGTGCTTGAAGGGAATTGATTTTCTTAGATTATAAACTCTAAAAGGGATTTTGAAAAACAGAGGAAAAAAGAAAAAGAAAGGAAAATTGGGTTGTGGGGGTGTGTGGATCTTTTTGGAAAAACGAAGCAAAAGCGTTGGAAGAAGATAGAGGATGTTGGCTGGGTGTTCTAGTTCAACATTGCTCTCGCCAAGGAATCATTTGAGAAGTGAAGTAGTACAGTCGCCGTTTCAAGCTTGCCTTTTGCAGTTTCCGCCTTCAATGAGCGCACAGAGATTGGATTTGCCCTGCAGCTTTTCCCACTCAAAAGACGCCTCTTCCGTCGTTCGATCCCCGTCGATCCGTCCGGTTGCTCTCTCGGTCGAGAAGCAGAGCATCAGGCTTCCGCCGCTATCCGCTGCTAACCAGCAAATCAAGCAAGAGTTTTGGAATGGGAAAGGTAAGAACTTGAAGAGAATTGCAGAGCAAGTTGGGATTGATGATGATGATGAATCTTCCATTAGCAATGCCAAGAGGAAGAGAGCGTGCAGAGACGACATAGGAGACGGGCTGATTCTGAGCCAATTCGGCGGTGGGGTTCGGAGTTTCTGGTATCATCAACAGCCTGATGGGGATGAAGGACTCTGCTTTCTTCCTGGAAGTTCAACGTCGCCGTTTATGTCAGAGATCGCTGATTTGGGAGAAGGAAATGACGGAGAAAGCAGCCAAGTGAAGGCGCAGGACAGCTCGGACTCGGTCTCCGGTTCAGATTCGGGGTCGAGTTCATCATCAGGAAGTGAGAGATTTGCAGCAGCAGAAGCAGGGCCAGAAATTGGAAATGGGAGCTCAAGAAATCCTTCATATCATCACCATCAAGGCTCTGGCTCAGAAAATGAGAGAGGAGAAGAAGAATCATTTGAGCTGTTGAGTGTTCTAATGGCATGTGTGGAAGCAATAAGATCAAAGAACATTACTTTGATTAACCATTTGATAGAAAAACTTGGTAGCCAAGCTTCACCAAGAGGTTCATCACCCATTACACGTTTGATTGCGTATTACACAGAGGCTTTAGCAGTAAGAGTGAGCAGAGTTTGGCCACAAGTGTTTCACGTAAGGCCGCCGAGGGAATACAATCGGATCGACGACGATACAGGTATAGCGTTACGTCTTCTAAACGAGGTGAGTCCGATCCCGAAATTCATCTACTTCACAGCAAATGAGATGTTGCTGAGAGCATTTGAAGGGAAAGACAAGGTTCACATCATAGACTTTGACATAAAGGAAGGGCTGCAATGGCCGAGCTTGTTTCAGAGTTTGGCATCTCGAGTGAATCCTCCGAGTCATGTCCGAATCACCGGGATCGGTGAATCGAAGCAGGAATTGAACGAAACGGGAGATAGGCTGGCGGGGTTCGCCGAGGCATTGAGGCTGCCGTTCGAGTTCCACGCGGTGGTGGACCGGTTGGAGGATGTGAGACTATGGATGCTTCATGTCAAGGAGAATGAGAGTGTAGGAGTGAATTGCATTCTCCAACTGCACAAGACTCTGTATGATAATAACATCAATGGTGGCGGGGGAGCATTGAAGGACTTTTTGGGGCTTATAAGAAGCACGAACCCGAGAATTGTTGTGATGGCCGAGCAAGAAGCCGAGCACAACGACCCGAGATTGGAGACTCGAGTTGCAGCCACAATTAAGTACTATGGTGCCATATTCGACTCCCTCGACACTAGCCTTCCACCGAACAGCTCGGGAAGGTTGAAAATCGAGGAGATGTTTGGGAGGGAGATAAGGAACATGATAGGATGTGAAGGAAGGGAGAGGTATGAAAGGCATGTTGGATTTGAGAAATGGAAGAAAGTGATGGAGAAGCAAGGAGGGCTGCGATGCGTCGGGATTCGGGACGATCGAGAGCTTCTTCAGAGCCAAATCCTGTTGAAAATGTACTCATCAGCTGATGGATTCAATGTGAGAAAGATTGGAGAAGGAGGAGCTCAAGCAGTTTGCTTAGCTTGGGAAGAACAACCACTTTACAGTGTGTCAGGATGGACAGCAGCAGAAATATCTTGATATTGATTTATTACATTCTTTTGGTTTCAATTGTAATTTGTTATACACATGAAAAGAGGGAGAGGGAAGAAATTCTTATTAGGGTTTATAAGAGATTATTTTTTAATTCTTATAAGGGTTTATAGACAGTTCTTTAATTCTTTTATGTAAGTGTTCATTCCAATTTCTTTCTATATATATTAGTGACTGAATCAAAATAATGCTGTCTTATTTCTCCCTTAAATCTATTTAATTTAGTTACAAGCAAGTCCGAGCAAGATTGATGCTGCTCAAGACTTTGAAGTTCACAAAAAAACCATCCTTTGCATCACATTTATTATAATAAGACAACCTTGAAAGGAGCTACTGTGAGATCCCACATTGGTTGAGGAATAGACGGAAACAAGGGGTATGAAAACTCGATTGGAAAGAAGACTGAAGCAAAAGTATGGAAACCTCTCCCTAACAGACGTTTTAAAAACCTCGAGGAGAGGAAAAACCCAAAGAGGACAATATCTAAGGTAAGTCTAAAAGGGAAATCCCAAAGAGGACAATATCTACTAACGGTGAGCTTGAGCCATTACAAATAGTATCATGAGATTCCACGTTGGTTGGGGTGGAGAACGAAACATTGGGTGTGTAAACCTCTCCCTAGCAAACCTCGAGAGAAAATCCGAAAAGAAAATTCCACGTTGGTTGGGGTGGAGAACGAAACATTAGGTGTGTAAACCTCTCCCTAGCAAACCTCGAGGGAAAATCCGAAAAGAAAAACCCAAAGAGGACAATATCTGATAGTGGTGGGCTAGAGCGGTTACTGTTACGATGAACTCTGAGTAAGAACACACAAGTATGCACATATGTTATATTGCAATACTCTTGAGTTTCAAGGAACCTTTTGAAGGATCTATTTAGATCGACTTAAAAGGCAGTTTTAAGCCCTTAAAGTCATTCCTACCTAATAAGCATGAAACATCCCTTGTTAGCTTCTCTTAGACTTCCCTCTCCACATCCAAATAATAAAAAAAATTTGCACATAAATTGTCAGCCCAAAGTTTTAAAACGCGTCAACTAGGGAGAAATTTCTCCTCATTTAATCTCACCTAAATACTTCGCTTGGACAATACTTGATTTAGATTGATCATCAAGTCTTTGAAATAACTTGGCATATGCCATCACAGACCTTACCCATATGCTTTCAAAATATAGATTCACCGTGACATTCCATGACGAGCTAGTTTTGTGAAATGCCCAAAAGATGAATATTAAAGATACCAAGACAATGCAAAATCAGAAACAAAGAACCATTTTATGTAGCAAACCAAGGAAGGCTCTATTATTTTGGGTAGCCATCTAATATATGCAATGTTTCTGTCTAAAATGAATAGAACTAGTCATATACAAAGCAGCCACAGAATCCAATATGATTTCTAAAACCCCCATCGTATTAACAAGAAAGCTGCATACAGAACTCCTCGGCATAATGATCAAATATTTTGCACTAAAAGACCATTATTCCGCATTAATGGTTCTATTCATACCTTCAAATGCCATCTCTGTCTCATCCACACACAGAGGGAAGATGCAGTTTTCATGTATATATCATTTAAGTTCGGCACCATCGGACTCGAGCGTTGCCCAGACCATTAAATCAACTCCAGAAATAAGGCTTCTTGTTTGCTGTTAAGTCCAAGTTCATTCAACGTTGAAGAACTCTCCCCATCTCCAAAAGCTTTTCGAGGATATGGCCTCACCTGTTCCATAGAATAAATACATACATGAAATGAAATCAACAAAAATATTAAACCATAGGTTTACACTTAAGATTCTGTATTATTTCGAACATATAAAGTATATGTCTACTCAAATGATCAAATGTCTCAATTAGGTTTCAAATCATTTTGTGATGATTATGAACTATAATGGAATAATAAGCTTCTAAAACAAAATAGATTTTAAACCAAATTTTAAATTACTCTCTAATTAGTATAGCATCAGAGTATCATATCGTCATAGAAAACGACAAATAAAAATAATACTTCTTGGCAGAGAAACATCGTCTTAGCATACGGAATGTACTCACCAATCTGTAGGAGCCAGGCTTCACAACTCTACCAATATCAATGAAGTCCAAGAGACACTACAAAACATATCACACAGCCAGTTAGGCAAAGAGGGGCATAGAATACAAATCTACCATTGCCAACCTCTATACAATTCACCTGTAGCTTATCAGTTTTGAGAAATCGACGACCACGGCGACTGCCATCGGGCATGCGCACTAATAGTGTCACAGCATTCTCATCATCTGTTCTTGGTTCACTAGGAAGAGAAGCTTCTATTTTTGCCAAGTGTCTTTCAAGTTCCTGCTAATTAAAAAACCATATAGAGTGAACATCTAGAACAGAAGATTGCTCGTTGTTGTAAATTCCAGAAATGTGGAATACATGGACCAAATATATCTCGCAGAAGTGAAAATACCATACATCATACTTGAACTAGTAGGGGAGGAATCCCAAACAGCATTATGAAAGGACCAAATTTCATAATTTGAATATCCTCACAACGATCACAATGCTATGTTATCCAAAAACTATTTGGCCTTTGAACAAATAAGACAGTGAGCAACAACATCAGTTTGGTATGGAGAAAAATGACAACTTCCAGATAATTTCTATAAAGTTACTACAAAAACGCTAATAGAAAATAAAGCAGGAACATGGATAGAAAACGGAGACCATGAGGACACATTTATAAAAAATGTGTAATATAAAAAAGATTTTTGATGCATTTTAATGGAACCCCCTAGGAATTTGTCGAACTTTATGATATACGACACCTAAAAGAAGGAATGAAATATGCAATACTGCTCTAAGAGATCGAAGAAACAAGTAACCTATTTCTAATGATAAAATGCCTTAATAATTTAACATAATTTCAAAGTGCTTGTGCACTATATATTGTTATTTCCTTTAATTAAATAAGTCTGAAGGTTTTCACTCTTAAAATTTATTATACTTCCCTACATTTCATTTTATAATCATTTTTATGAAAGTAAATGAATAAAGGTAAGATTAGTTCAAATGACAAACAATTATCAGAGAAAATGATTGTTTGATGCTATGTCGTGCTTAAAAAGTGCTACTAGAGATGTTTCACAAGTATCAAACTCATGCAATTTGTTCAATTAGTGTTTGACACGTCAAAATCACAGAGAATCTAGTATGTGTTGACAGAGACACATTACTCTAGTTTATCCTATACGACTCGGATGATAAAGTTCGTAACCATAACAATCAGTATGAAGATTTAATGTTTGTAGAGACTATTCAGAATAGAGTACAATGTTCTGTGTTGAGTCTGAAATCCCTGAGAGCACAACAAGAGAGCAAATAGACATATAATGCACTTGCACACATTTCTTATCTCAAATATATGGAGTATTCTATGAATTAATTACAACGGATGGGAAAAGGCATCTCCAGAAGAGAAAGCCACAGAAATGACCAGAATTACCTTCTCAGCATCCAATTTCTGACGGGATTCCTCCTCTCTTTGTTTTTCTTCTTCAAGAACAGCAGCAGCTTCTGCCATTGCCTTCAGTTCTTTTTCTTTGTCAGCTTGTAAGGCTGCAAGATACTCATCATCCTGCATGGGTATGTGACTAACAATTAGACTCAATAGATGGCAACCTTGAACAGTTTTTTACTTAAAACGCAAAAGCCTAACCTGTTGTTCCCTAATCAAACGCTGAGCTACTAAAGTGGGAGAAGGAGGGCGAGGGGCTGGCTGCATATATGAACCTTGATTTCTCATGAATTCATGAGGTGCAGATGGAAAATTATATGAACTTCCTTCAGAACCTCCACCAAACATGGCCGCCTCAAGCATGACTGCTTCATCATGCTCCTCTGAAGAAATTCCACCCCACTTCAATAGAGAAGCATCAACAGTTAAAATGGATAGTTATAAATAGCGGCTAGGATGATATCTTGTTGCAGAAATTAGGATAAAAACATCGGCATACTAAATTCTATACCTCATCAGAACGAAAGATACTCCCATTGTGCTGTGAATTATTACCAGCACCGGAATGCTTGGGACTAGATGCAAGGCTTACATCAACTTCAACCCCCTTTGCAGGCTCAACATAGCCAGAGGACTTGCGTTTGGACCGATGCCTAACTAAATTATCTTGCTCTAGGTCTTCAACCTCGTCTTGAAAAGACGTGCTTCCTGCTTCCATCCTGAATTTTTCCAATGTATTGTCATCAGACTTTTGCGTAAAACAATACAACACAAATTACAGTCTCATGTCTCACCTCAGTAGGCATCATAATAATCAAGTTGGTTCAATAATAATTTGTACTAAGGCTTCATTTGGGATTGATGTAGCTTTTAAAAAAATGATGTCAACCATACTTCTAAGAAGATCAATTGTGAAATGAAGTAGATTACTGTTTGGTAAATTTCAATATAAAACATGAAAAGCATGTTATGATGTTTGACAAATAAATAGTATTGTTGTGATTTAGCTATAATGACCAAAGTAGACATATACATTGCAATTATTTTTTATATTGATATTTAATATATACTTTATCATAAGATAATTATTAAAAAAATTATACGATTAAAAGTGAAAGTAAAACTTTGTTTAATATAAATTATTTGATAAAAGCTTGGGAAAAATAATTGTCACAAAAAGAAATAAATAAATGAATGGAAGGATAGAATTGAAATTTCAAAATTTTTCAAGGAAAGATACAAATTTTAAGGAAAGCCAATTTGATTTTGCAACTCAAAGCAGATTGGAAAGCGATTCTAGATAAATTGATAAATATGTCATGTTACCAAACAATCTAGACGGTTAAATTTTTTTTATAATTTCTTTTAGTCTATCCAAAATCAATCCCAAATGGACAATAAATCTAGCTAGTGTAGTTTATAGAGAATACAGTCGTTGAGAAGAATACCTTCCATTTAGTGCTCTACCTTTCCTCAGCTCCACCTCAGTTGACTTAGAATCTGCTATTTTCGATCCTCCAATGTTCTCCCCTCGCTCAGGGAAAGCTTCATCTGGCTGTATTGTCGATACAAGTTATCCGTAAGAATGTGCAAGCGTCAAGACAAAAAAGGGGTTTAAGATGAGAACAAACCTTGATAGATGAA